AGAAATGATCTACTTAAGTAAATATTTTTTTCTTTCAGGATTCTTAACTTTCTGAAAATATAAGCTCAAAATATTAACAAATAGTTTTCATATACTCTTCCCAATGATCTCTTGATCAACTATAAAACAAACTAAACTACAATAAAAGTAATAAAAAAGTGACAAAGTAGATATTACAATACTCTTATTATATACTTATATACTTGCTATCGATAAAGCTTATATATATAAAATATCAAGAAGTAGGCATATAATAAAAAGCAGGTCTGGTATCTTGGGTCAAGCTTCTTTTCCATGAACTGTTGTCGACAAAGTTCTTAAATATGATATACTGAGGTGCAGATATTGTGAATAGTTTGCACAGAGGTCAAACTCTTTTGTTTTGTGGGTAGACTCTTTTGTGTATTTAGCATCCAAACCAGAGAAGTCTCTGAGAACAGCAAGAAGAAAAGAAGTGAACTCCCCTATATCTTTGATATCTAAACCAAAAGAATATTTTAAGAGCAATGTCACTGTTGGATCTCTGTGCAAGAATATTAAGTAGAAACAAAAGAACTGAACTATACTACTGTAACTTTTACAAGAAGAACCTTATATACTTTCGTTGGTCTACTACTTTTTTTAAGGAAATTTTTGTAAAAAGTAAGTGTTTCAGCTTATCTTTTTCAAAAGATTGATATTACATGCACCAAAATAGTCAGCATTGTTTACTCTCCAAATTGGCATAACAGAACAACAAATATATTAAGGTATATATCTCAAATGCAACAATCTGATCAAACAATATTCTATGACTTGGATTAAGTACCAACCCTTTATATTCTATAGTTAAAGAAGTATTTTTTTACTAGTTTTGAGCTTTTATATACTATGTAGATAAATTTAGAGTAAGAACTATTTTATTTAGTAGTATATAATTTTTATAAGCTGTTCATGGGCTTATAATAGTAATCATTAGAATAGACAAATTTCTTTTTTTTTTTTTTGATACCTCTTTACTTCTTTTCTTTTTTGTTTGTATCTTTTATTATATTTCTCTTTTACTTCTGTTTTTTCTTTTTCTTTTGTGTCTGTGCTTTTGTTAATTTAGCTCTTTTGATGAAACAATGCAGCTACTAGAGCTAAGGATCAGAGGGTTCATATTCTCAGTAAATTGAGGATCCAACATGAAGCCAATTGCTGCTAGGTGGGTTATTCTTAAGCTTAGCTCGAGTTGATCTTTACTCATATAGAATATAGTATAGAAAATTGTATCTTCTTGTTGATATAAATTCTGGTACTTCCCAATAAAAGAGTAATAGGCAAGACCACTAAATTCAAAAAAAATTAACAGATAGTTTTCACTGACTTTATTAAAATCTCTCTCTATAATTTAGTACTACTAATTTATTAATATTTTCTTATAGAAAAGTAAAAAAAAGAATATAGTTAAGACAAAAATAAGATAAGTAAAAAGCAAATATATTATAAAAATAACAAAAATATAAAAGAATCTAAAAGCTATCCTAAAATCTAAGAAAACTTGTCTATAAATAGCTAATCGGATAAAAAATTATTTATATAGTTATAGAAATCTATATATAAAGCTATCTAATAAAAGAAAACTATATACTAAAATACATTTTAATTTATATTAAGAGCTAAAAATTATAACTTTAAATAAAATACTAATTTTTAAGTCTCGATATATAATTATTAGTTTCAAAATAGTCAAACTTTTTTTAAAGCAATTCTCTTATAGTTCTTTTTTGAATCTTGCTTTTATTTTTTTTTATATATTAAAGTGACTACTTGGGGGTCTGGCATGGTTTATTAACTTCACAGGTCAATTATTAGGATACTGAATAGGCACCTCTTGACTTTGTTATATCAACAAGAGTACAATTGGTCACATATACAACTTTAGTTATTGTCTAATTAAGAGCTTTGCTATATCTATTTCTATCTATAGTTACCCACCAATTGCTATATCTAAAATCTGCTTATAGATCCCCTATTTAAACTCTCTAATTAATTTAACACTATCAGATGCTTTTCCTGGAAAAATTTCTGCTATTAAGGCTCCTTAGAACTACTTTATCCTTATGGTAAACCTACCAGAGCGGTCCATGTTCTATACATATATCGCCTAGATTTTTCAGTAACTTATATTCCAATCTGAAGACTGATATTTGCAGTCTTTATCATCACTACTATTATCTACTCCTTGTCCTTACAAAGTTCATTCCAATTCTGATACCTACTTTCAATTGGCCCTTATACTGATTCCTCTTCAACTACTAAACCAGTTAGCCTAGATGGATTGTTATATCTAGGCTCCAAGTGCTTTCTGGTTTTACTTTTCTTGATTTCTAATTTTGTAGTATAGAATCTTTTCCTCCAGTGTGACTCTGGCAACCAGGTTGGTAGACTCTTCTTGCCCCAAGGTTATTTGTCTGGTTCTTCAGTTTTTAGTTCTGATTTTCTGTAGTATCATTAAAGATCTTTACTACTCCTAGCTCGGGTCTTGCCAAACAGGTTTCAAATATTCTAGTTTCTTAGATTTGGATCACTCTAAAGCTTCCATTTCGAGATAGTAGTACTAGGATTATAGGTGATATATCTAACCAATTGTTGAATAAATATTACCAGAACACAGGCCTATTTTTTGAAAAATGTCTTTGGTGGGAATCAAACTCCAGACCTGCTGCTTGGATGTAACAACTTAACCACTACTATATGTAACTACACTCTCAAATCTTGTTTTTATACTATACAAGATTAACAAAAGATGTATCCTTTTGATTACTACATCATTAGAAACTACTTTCTATAGTATATCTCAAAAAAACCTATTTCTAATAGTAAAAATCTAATCTGAACTTAGAACTTTCTACTTGATATGCTTCAGATTATTAATTCCAGAACTTTCTCTTTCTATGTAATTGTTGCATTTCTTATTTATTATATTATAACTTAAGATTTTTCAAAAATAGAAGGAATAAACAATACTAATCTTTTAATTGACGATTCTCAAGTGAACTGAAGAATGTTCATAGTGAAATGTGACATGGTTTTATATATAAATTACTATAGGCACAAAAGTAGAAATTTTCTAGTGATTGTCCAAGGAAAACTTTTTTATACTAAGTTAACTATCTTTGAGTCTTTAAGTAAAGTTGTAGAGCTCATTGAGATGAATCTAATAGTAGTTAGATCATTCAAATCAGCCTAGTAGATGCCATGATATCTTTGAAAACTTTTCGCCAACTATATAAAATTCTTTAAGAACAATCCAAAGAATTTTTATATAGTTAGCAAAATGTTTTTTAAAGATATCTTAGTATCCACTTGGCCGATTTGGATGATCTAACTACCATTAGATTTATCTCAATGAGCTCTACAACTTTATTTAGAGACTCAAAGATGAGTAACTTAGTACAAAAAAAAGTTTTCCTTGGACAATCACTAGAAAATTTCTACTTTTGTGTCTATAGTAATTTACATATAAAACTACATCATGTTTCACTCTGAACATTCTTCAGTTCACTGGAGAATCATCAATTAAGAAGTAATCAGATTTTCTACTTTTTATTGAAAATTATAAAAAAGAATACAGCAAAAAATATTATAGTTTTGCAAATTTTTTAACAAGAAATATTATTTTAAAAGTTCTTTATAGCTTTCTATTTTTAAACAAACTCGAGTTTACTTTTTACTTGCTGTTCTCAGAAACTTCTCTGGTTTGAATACCAAATATACAAGAGAGTCCATCTAAGAAAAAATATAAAAAAAGATTTGACATCTATGCAAACTGTTTAAAATAACTGCATCTCAGTATATTATATTTAAAGACTTTATTAATAATAGTATATATCAAGAAAACTTCAAGTTGTTATTGACTTCTGATTTTAAGTTTTCAACTTGCTTTTAGTAACTGGTTGGTACAAGTAATTATCAGGAAGAATTGATTGCTATTTATTAATTTAAAATATTTTTTTATAATATATAATAATATATATAGTAAACATAAAAATCTGCTTTTTAATTCTAAAACTTTTATAATAAAATATTTGTTTATAATATTAAATATAATAGTTATATTATTAAGTTTAATTAGTAAAACTATATAATCTTTCTTAGTAATACCTATTATAATTAATACTGTTATAATATACAATTAAAATTTATATTTCTAATTTTAGCATAACTGTGTTATGTAGCTACCTTATTTAATAGTAATTAAAGTATTCAAGTTAGCCTAGTAGATACTAAAATATTACTAAAAAATAATTAATTAATATAAATTTCTATTTAAATAAAATTCTTATAATTTACTAAACTAAATTTTAATTATTTAATTACTATTATATTTATTTTAATAAGCTTTACAACTTTATTTAAATTAAATTTTTCAAAAATAATTGTCGCAGCTGCTGCTGGAAACGGCTGATGCTGAAATTTGGGGCCTCGATTTAAAAATATAAGCCCTGCTAAAATCCATATATACTTGTTAATTATCAATTCTAACCCTAAACACTAACTCGACTATCAAAAAAAGCGGAAACAAAACCCTAAAAAATTTTTAAAAATTCATATTAAAATAGATCCGAATTTTAGCATTAGCCGTTTTTAGCATCAGCTGCGACAATAATTTTGTTAATATTATACCAAAAACTTTTTAATGAGTTATAGATTTTCTATTAATATAATATATATATATACTATATATAGTTTAATAATATTAGAAATTACAAATATGAGAAAAGTTTTATTAAACATTATATACAAGTTAAATTTTATATTAAACAAATTTATATTTGGTAAAATTATATTTTTAAATTATATAAAATTTTGAACTTGGTTTTTAAGCTAAATCTTTTTATTTTTTGTTTTATATGATTATAAAAGTTAATTTTAAATTAGTTAAGTTAAAAAGAACCTTTAGCTTAAAGTTTATAGCAAACTTATATATTTTTATTATAATTCTTGTTATATATATCACTCTAGAGAAATGTTCTATGTCTGTTATGGCTGAGATTTGGTTAAACGCAATTATTAGTTAATATACACTTTATTTAATAAAATAACTCATATCTTATTAGCCATACTGCCAGGTATTGGAATAAATGAACTGCCAGGTGTTGGGATAAATGGATTTCCAGGTGTTAGAATAAATGAACTGCCAGGTGTTGGAATAAATGAATTGCCAGGTGTTGGAATAAATGAATTGCCAGGTGTTGGAATAAATGAATTTCCAGGTGTTGGAATAAATGAATTGCCAGGTGTTGGAATAAATGAATTGCCAGGTGTTGGAATAAATGAATTGCCAGGTGTTGGAATAAATGAATTGCCATGTGTTGGAATAAATGATAAATCTTTGTGCCGTCTTTTATATAATAAAAATCCGAACAAAGATGAAATCCCAATCAATAAAATTGCACCTACACCAATGCCAATTCCGATAAATATTCCATTGTTAGATGATGAATTTGGCTGGTTTGTTTGAGTTTCTTTATTTGCTGATGTTGTTTCTTGAACTGTTGTAATATTTACTGATGTAATCCAAATGTAATTTTTTGTATCAAAAATATAAACATTATTATTAAGAGTTGTTGTTATAGCTGAAGTCGTAATTTGACCTAAACAATGTTAATATTTTAGTAATTTATTAAACTACATAATAAAATTTAATAATGCAATAATTACCGAAAGCGATAATCATAAAATCCTTATATAATTCTGCAGAATGATAAGAAAGTGATGGTGGTGCATTTGTTTGAGGAATATTTGGAGTAGACCACATCCAGGAATTTGTATTTAATATCATTATATCAGGAAGAGCTCGAGTGTCAGATGTACTATATATTGCACCTCCGTATACGATAATATTCCCATCTTGAGCTAATAAAAAAAATTAATAATGTTTAAAACGAACTTAAATGATTATTGATAATATGGTATACTTACTTAAAACAGCTGAATGTCTACTACGACTTGTAAAATTACCATTAATGACCTAAATTAGATCAGTTATAGAAAAATAAAATATTCGCATAATTGTTGATTATTTATTTTATTATTTATATACGTACTTTAGTGGACCAACTTAAAGATTTTGTGTCAAATATTCGAATCTGTTATTTTTTGAATGTTAGATTTTAAGAAAATTTAGAAAAAAAAAGAATGCAAATTTCATACTTCGCTCATATTAGATACATATTGGCCACCAATATAAACAATAGCACCATTTGGTAATAATGTAGCAGTGTAATCAACGTTGGCAGAAATATTCTGTGATAAGTTCAAAGTTGACCAACTCATGGTAACAATATCAAGTATATTTGTATCATTATGTGCTCCCTTCTTATGGACGATGTTGCATTGTTCGCACCAACGATAACCGATTCTGTAACATTCATTCCACCGAAAATAAAAATTTTCCCATCATTATTAATAACAGCCTGAAATCCATTACGTGAAGTGAAAGAACTATTAAAATTAGTTATGCTTGGTGCTGCCCATTTTGATTCCTTAGTATTATACGTATATACTGATGAAGAATAGTTTTTAGTACTTGTATATTGAGTAACCATAATTCCACCAACAATGAAAACGGTAGGATTATCAATAGAACTAACACATGAGCCACCAGAAATATATCCTACTGGCATTCCAACGTCACTATGCCATGGAGGTGCAGTTGTATTAAACGAACTTGATAAATCAATATACCATACTTCATTAATGTCAACCCTATTTGTAGTTTCTCCACCAAAGAAATAAAGCCTGTTACCTACTAGAGCGCTAGTTTGTTTATATCTTGGACTAGGAATGTTTTGACAATTTACAAAAAAGGGTCTAAAATATAGTATAAAAATAAAATATAATATTTTTTTATAAAAATTCATATCAAAAAGTGTAATAAAAATTTCACTCTATAAAAAAGAGGCTCTATGTGTAGTGTTTATATATCGACGGTACGTTTGACTCAAATATTAGATTAATTAATTAAAATATAACTTTGAAGAATTAAACTGCCTTAGCATTCTGAAGACATTACTTCTGCATCTAATGCTTATTGCTCTTTTCTACTGAAATTCTAGTCAAATCTCTAAATTACTAAAGGTTGACAACAGTTATTACAGTAAACAATTAAGATATACAGGAATTTGGATTGATTTACGATATACACAAATATATTGTATTCTTAATAAGGAAAAAATAAAAAATCCCGTATATGAAAAATAATCTTTGACAAAATATAAATTTTGTACATACGTACGCACGTGCTACATATAATTATTGGTTCGTATTTTGTTTGTAAATAAAGTCGCCATAAGGTTCCCTTTAATGGAATATAGCGTAAATGATACTGTCCACTGTAATTATAAAGTTGGGTGCGCAACGGAATAAATAATGTAAGACACGGTTCGAATGTCAAGTAAGACCTACGGACAGGATTTAAATGTAATTTGCATTACAAATTAGGTTATAATAGCGAAACTGCATTGTTTTGTTCAAGATTTAATGGGTCTTTGCTATCAAAATGACTCTCCGAAGCATTTTTTCACAAGTTTTTTATTAAGAAAAAAATAGTCAATCTATTTTTAGAAAAAAATTCATAGCAAAGGCCTCTAATAATTATTGAAGTTTCAAGCAACTCTTGGTATCTTTGTAGCCTAAAATAAGTTTTGTTCTGAAGTCTCAATATATTATTATTATCTTTGTTAATTTTTAATATAAATAAAGAGTCATTGTAAATTATATTTAATATACAGATATATAAATTAAGCACCTGCTTATATTAGTTGTAGTTATTTAATAAAAAGATTATCAATAAAAAAGGTAATTCTAAAAATAAAAAAAATGTTTTTTTTTTTTAAGACCCGGCATAGTTTCAGATTCAAAGAATCGCCCATCTTCAAAAACATAATATCCTATAAGAATATTGGTTCAAAAATCATACTATCTAAAGTACATGACTTTGAAATGACATCCTGAAATAATACGTATTCTTCATAAAAAACACCTCCTACTGTATATCAAACGATCAACTTTTATCAAAAAATAATGCTCATGCGCGTACTCGAAAAAATGACATATACTCAAAATAACGCACTGATAGATGCTATTGCGCGAAAATACGATAGAATTAGTATTATAAATCAAAAGTTGAAAAAATCGATTAGTTGGTTGACACAACAGGAGGAACCGTCGATGTTACACGACTGATCCTTCACCCGGTGTGTAACATATAAAAAATAAGGTAGTTGTGCGACGTTGTCGCACTAAAACCAGGAACGTAGATCTTGAACAATTAGTATAT